TTTTTTTTTTTTGTCTTTTTCCGTGTCCGGCATCGGATTGCAACCCTCAGTGTCGCCCCTGTACTGGACCGGACCGGGACCGGCAACGGGATTGCAACCCTCGGCGTTGCTCCCGCGCCTCGCTCAGCCAGTGAGCGGGAACCGGTCTGTATGTGGGATCCGAACCCTCGGGCGGGAGCGCCGCCACACTTCCCAAGTGGCACACTATCCAGTGCGCCACCAGGCCGGCCCTTGTGTGGGCCTTTTTAAGGACTTGTTTATATTCTGAGTGAACTGGGGAGCTATTTTAGAGGATTTTAAAAGTTGAGTTATTTACACACAATAAAATTCACCATTTTTGTGTTTGATGTGTTTTGGGCAGTCGTATATAGTCATGTAATAATCGTAAGATACATCACCCCCAAAAAGTTCCCTTGTGTCCCATTGCACTCGATCTATTCCCCCACCCTCGGCCCTAGGCAGCCACACTGATCTGCCTTCTATCACAGTCAGTTTAGCCCTGTGTGGATGCTTTTGACATTCATCTGTATATTGTTGCATGTATCAGCGGAGTGTTCCACCAATGGATGAACATTTGGGTGTTTTCCAATTTGGGGCTATTATGAATAAAGTGGCAATGAATACTTGCATCAAGATTGGGCCTATGTTCTGTTAGATTTCGAGCAGAGGAGTGACATCTGATTTACTTCTAAAGTTTTTTTGTTTTGATACATTTGCAATTTATATAAAAGTTACAGAAATAATACACAGAACTCCCATAAACATTAACATTTTTTAAACATTTCTGAACAATTTCAGAATATACCGACCTGATTCCCCATTAACCCTCAAACTTCATTGTGTATTTCCTAAGTACAAGACCACTCCCACATAACCTAATACAACCATCAAAATCAGGAAATAACATTAATCCAATATTATCACCCAGTCCAAGTTTTGCTGATGTCCCAATAATGACCCAATAATCCAACCCAGGATTGTGTTGCATGTAGTTGTCATGTCTCTTTGGTCTCCTGTCAGTTCTTCAATCTGTCCTTGTCTTTCATGGTCTTAATTTTATATTGCTAGTGATTATCCATCTATCTTTGGATATATCTATACAATTATGTTAGAAACCATGAATTTACACCGTTACTTCCAATTGCATTCTAACAGCACTGAATTTATTCTACCCTTCCCTCTGCTCGTCCCCACCAGTCCCATGAACCTCAATGAATTTACTTGGTTGCTCAAACCTCCTGTATTTAACCAAACTCTAGAAAGCAAGCCTTCAAGAATGAGGAGGGTGAAGGAAAGAGGAGCTAACTATACTTTAAAGAAGATTTGCTCCAACTCGGATCTTCTGACTTGCCCTATCTTATCCATCTTTGGGAGTTTGGAGGAGGAATGATTGATTGGAGGGAGTGGATGTTGTTCTCTATTGTGCTTCCAACATAGCCAAGGTTAAGAGCTAACAAAGCATATTTCTACTGAAGTACGTTGTAATGATTAAATCATTCGCTCAAATAGTGTTTTTCAAAGGCAGTATATTGATAAATGTAAAAATAATGTTAAAGTGGAAACTGTTGCAAGAGGCTAATGTCTCCATTTTAAACTTCAAGGCTTGTAGTATTTTCATTTTGTCCCTTGAAAATGTTTCCAACAAAGACATAATGAAGCTCGTGAAGCCCTGGCTAAAGTTCTTTGCTGTATTTGATTTGCCCTGGAGCAGTACTTCTCAAACTTTAATGGGTCTATGAGTCACTTGAGTGTTTTGTTAAAAAGTGTGTCTGGGGTGAGGTATGACAGACTTTATTTCTATAGAAAAGTGATGCCAAAGTAACTGGTCTTGGGGGGATCAAACTTTGGTGGCAAGTGGCGAGACGCCACAGTCTCTGCGCTAATGATTTAGTCACTGAGTCTTAATTTAAAGGTGTATGAATCTCTTTGAATATGATAAAAGCTAGGGACTTTGGGGTAGCGGGGGGAGTGCATGTGTATATATACACACCTAAGCATATAATTTCAGAAGGATCATGCATTCATTCAATGAATATTTATTGCATGCCATGGGTTTTTATGGGTGCTAACAATAGAGTGATGAACAAGATAGGCAAGGTCCTTGCCTCATGGAGTTTTCGTCATAGTTTCAGGAGACAAACCACCACCAAGTAAATAAACAAGGCATGTTAGATAGTGACGTGTGCTTTAGTGCAGTGTACCACAGTCACACGACACAGGGATTGGGCTGGAGGACCGTGGAGTATCTCTCGC